CACGTTTGTGTTTCACTACCACAGCTCCACTCTTCTCTTGGCTATTATGTGTATCAAGGACTTGTCCTTGACTGCCTCTCATGTAGAGATATGACACGACTCACAAAAACCAATGCAGAGCTTTCTGTTTTTATGTGAGTGTTTGCAGGGTTGTGTGTTGTGTGTGTGTTATGTAAAGGCTTGAATTGAATATTTTTCATTTTTCCACCCTCTACATGCTCGGATCTTGTTATTTTAAGTCAAAGTCAAAGTCATGTCAAGTCAAGTTAAATTGTATTTCTATACTCACAAACAGTTTGTCTCAGGGGGGTTTTACAATCTGTATCTGTACCCTCAATTTGTGTAACAAAAAACTTTTAACAGGAAAGAAAATGGAAGAAATGAGCCACAGAAAAGCGAAAGAGTCTATAGAACAAACCAACAGAATCACATTATATATACATTTTGATGGCAGAATTTCTGGTACATGAAGATTATAAAAACACTATAGGCTTCAATCACTCATTGTTTAAGCTTAATTCTTCTTGCATAATCTCGCCCACATCATCTCCTTTTTGATATGCTTATAGACACACACACAGAATGGCCTAGAATATCACACAGATATTCTCTTCTTTACGGTTCTTTGGTAAAGAAGGGAAATTAGTGAACACCACCAGTCTGTGTACTTTTGCAGGCCAACTGTCCCATGCCTCCTACATGTGATCCCCAGCACCATGTCTCACTGCATCCTCTCACTGCCCTCTGAGAATTGCTCTATTGTCTGTCACACAATTTAGCGTACAAGCATGCAGTGGATGCTGCTGCCTCAGGCTGTGAAAACAGAGTGGGGGCTGAAACCAGTCAGCACTGTTGTGGCCAAGGTACATAGTGCTATTCAGTTTTCCCTATTTATAGAAGACCAATCGGTCATACGAAAACGTTTTAGTGCAATATTTTCATTAAAACACCAATAGCCTTAAAAGCATTTTCTAAAAATACTGCTGCATGCTGCACTTAAATCCTATTGGTGAGATTTCAGAAGAATTGTTAATTGAGTAGAATATGAGCCAAAGTGAGCAGCGTACTGCAGACATAGAGACACTGTTGTACATGGTGTTTATATTTAGTTATAAAAAGGGAAACTGTCAAATTTGGTAGATTGGCACTAAAATAAAGGCAGAAAGCGAGAACTGCATGAATCAGGTATATCGCCAAGACTGTTTTGACAGGTGTTAAATTGAGTTTACACACTGGTGTCAAGCTCTTCACAGGCAGTTACATAAACTGGTCAATAATGTAATGATGAAGAGATGAAAGACAGAAACACAGAAAGTGCAGTTCTAGCTCATGAAGATTATTAAGGAAAAAATAAATCTCACGTGATTAAGACGATGGTTGTAGGGGTTAATCTCCTGACCTGCTTAAAAATGTGTATGATTTGATTAGAGTTCAGCCACCAGTGGAGTGTGTATGTGTGCACCCACTCATGCAATCATCCACACAGCACTCCTCCATGATGCTGCGTCTGAGTGACAGCTGTGTGTGAGCACTGCTGGCTTGGTTACTACCTGTTTGTCACAGCTTTTCTTTGTGTGTCTGGTCTGATGTACAGAGTCTTTAAAAAGTGTTCATCCCACTGTAAGATTTCATGTTTTATTGTCTTACAACATTGAACCAAAAAGGGATTTAATGTGGCTTTGTAAGACTGATCAACAGAATAAGATGCTTTCATGTCAGAGTGAAAACAGGTTTCACCACAGCTGTGCCATACACTTTCAATTTCTTAAAGAACCGGTATGTAGGACTTAGTGCCATCTAGCACTTGCAACATTTGAATACAGCTTAGCTTTCCAAGCGTGTAGGAGAAACTACAGTGGCCGCGAAACTCAAAAGGCCCTATCTAGAGCCAGTGTTTGGTTTGTCCATTCTGGGCTACGCTTCAACATGGTGGATATTGAATAAGACCTGCTCCCTCTGTAGATAAAAATGGTTCATTCTCTCAGGTAACAAATTATATTATTTTATTATTTTCAACTTTGAATATTATATTCAATTTCTGCCAATAGATCATCCAGTGTTACATACTGGACCTTTAATGTTTGATTAACCATGGTGCCACAATACTGACTCAACAAAAGTTGGACTTATCAGATACAAATGAAGGAATTTTAATTGAATTCTAATTGACTTTCATGACTTCATCCTCATCCAAAAGACACTTCCTGAGATCTAAGTCTCCCTATGATAGGAAATCAAGTTTTCCTTCTTCTTCCATGCAAATGCAGTATGATCAAAAGAGTTTAATAAAGACAATGTAGGATCTATTTTTAAGTTCAGCTCTCATTTGTTGACCTGATTAAACTGCCACTCAAGTTCTTCTAATCAGGCCAACATGTCACAAAGATGTGATTTATAAATATGAAACAGGGCTAGTCATGGTATTGGATCTGTGGCTCTGTACATAGATAAAGTGGTGCTTTATGCTAACATAAGCATGCTATTATACTCACAAAATGATGCTAGAACATGCTAGCATTTTGCTAATTAGCATGAAATGCAAAGTACAGCTGAGACTGATGGCAATGTTAATTTGTTTTGCAGGTGTTTGGTCGTAAG